ATCCCAAGTGTCTTTTATTTGTTTAAATGATTCTTATTCTTTATCTCTTCTAAATCTTTTCATATGAGTTACCTTCGGCAAGGGATGATGAAAACAACTGAAAATTTACTTGTGGTGGACGCTCTCTCCTTTTCAAGGAAGCATCTGRGGCGGGGGTTCGTTGCTTTAGAAGTTAACCTTGTTATCGACCCAGAGTGGACTGTTCTACGGGGGAGTACTTTGTCGATTCGATKAAGACGGTCCGACTTCTGAGATCCGAGTCTTGTGCTCGGGCAAGGAGGAGGAATGCCCCAGACCACTTCCTAAAAGGAAAGACATGCAATACTTTAAGTAATGCACCCGACAAAAAACTCATTCGCAAAACAACATGTCATCTAAGAAGATTAGAAACGTATGGAAATAGGTGTGTGTGTGCCTAAGCTTAGGTCAGTGGTAGAGTGAAATGAATAACTTTGGCAAGCGTATCTCATCAAGTCAACACTGAGGCAGACCGACTTCCTTGTCGGGAGCATCGGGGTTATTGTTGAAAACCAACTCCTCGTTGACAGATGTATGATTTTTTGTGGAGTTCGACCCGGGGTGGTCGGATTTTATATTTGATCTTGTGTTATTCRATGYACCGTATGAYAGYTCAAWTTTTTTCATYTGCTATTTSACATTGAATATACCTTCCTATCGACTATGGTTGATCCCTCTTGATGAAAATTTGAGTGGTTGTTATAACTTTTTTTAACTGGTGTCTAAAAGGACTAGGATATTGTGGGTTTCACGCTTGGTTGAGACCGTCCTAGTGGACCGGCATACGTTTCGTTGATAGGAGATCAGCGCCCTAATGGATGAATGACATTCGGGTTCAATAGGCGTTTGAACCGCGCGTACCTATACTACATCGAGAGAGCAAACGCCCACGGTTGACGCACCTCTAAAATTGTATTTAAAAACTTTCACTCGTGGGTCAGTAGCTCGGTAGGGATACGCCCGTAAGGGTGGTGACATCCCAGTAGGGAAACAAGTTATGCCCCGCGGGAACCTATCTTTTTTTTTTTTTTTTTTTTTTTTTTTTTAAGTCCATGGTGTTAAACCTATCCTGTCGTAGGGGACCGCGGGAAGTACATCTGGAGCACCTGGCTAGAGAGGCGAAGGGATGACGCGACCACGCCCATCTCGGCGGTCCACGATATTATTTATGTGTCGTCTCCAAGTTGTCTCTTTATTAATCTTTCGTTTAACTCCTGTGTGACGTGGCCGAGAAGACTCTCGCCATTCACAAGAAAAGGCGGGAGCCCATGCGCTCGACACCGAAACAAGGAATCTTTGACTGACGATTCAACGTTCAAGCTGGTTATAGTCGGGAATGGAGATAGCTGAGCCAATAAAATCTGGATGTTGCAGAAAGTAACAACTAGGGTGGGTAATTTGTAGGCTTGAAAAGGAAAACTCGAAACGAAAACAAAAATATTCAATCACATAAAAATCAAACCGTAATCTGYCCAACGRCTCTTTCTCTTGCCAAGACGAATGGTTGCAGGTGTACATGTTGGGCCGCAAAGGATGGCAATTGTACGGTTACACATTACTCAGAGTTTGAAGTAAGAATCAAATGCTCGCAATGACAAATGCATTCACCGCGTTCTTCCTATGTGAGGGGTATGTAAGTAAAACCACATTGTCTGTCCACCGTATGAACGAAGCGTCGTTGCCCAAAAAGGTACAACGGCCAGGTACAGGGTAACTTTCAGCTCGTCGTTGAAAAAATTAGGACATAAGCACCAAGTAGGAGAGGAAGTTTCTGAAATCATGAACCCAAATCCCACAAAAAAACAAACACTACTATTCACACAGAAAAATATACGGCCGATTCATTAGCACCATGGGTTCACGCATGCCCCACTCGCATACACGAATCTTCTATTTCTTGTAAGGAAAAGCAAGCATGCAAGTGTCGGATACTTGGAATACAGCACGGATTAGATAGGTGTGTGACCGTGTGTCTACACAAAATTTATGAGAGGAATATAAAAAAATAATTTCAGTCTATTACAAATTGTACTTCTTGTAAAAGGGACGCTGGACCCGGWTTCCAGCAGGTCCATCTCCCCAGAATAAGAAGGATGTAGTTGGTGTAGCTGGTTTTGATCTGTCTGCGTAGTCTAATATGCTTTCGGAGGACTTTGGTTTGATCCTGGGACCTTAYGCAGAATAAGGAGAGGCTATCGGGGCCTCACTTTTCTGCCTGTGTTTTGGTGGTGGCCTACGGGGGTAACTGTGCGTAGCATAGGTGTTGAYTGGGACGTTGTGTTTAAAAGGCTGGCGGTTGCCGGTTGGACTCCCTTTTGGTACCCTGCACCAAAATCGAGTCAGCGCTTTTGTCTGYGGAAGGGCGGAAGGGTTTGGGGTTGTGGTCTGACGGTGGTGCACGTCGAGTTTTGTTCGTCACTCTTACTTTTGGAACTCGGCTATGTGGTGCGCGTCGAGTTTTGTTCGTCACGCTTACTTTTGGAACTCGGCTATGGCAGCGCTAGCTCGCTGCGATCAGCGCTTTTGTCTGCGGAAGGGCGGAAGGGCGGAAGGGTTTGGGGTTGTGGTCTGACGGTAGTGTGCGTYGAGTTTTGTTCGTCACTCTTACTTTTGGAACTCGGCTATGTGGTGCGCGTCGAGTTTTGTTCGTCACTCTTACTTTTGGAACTCGGCTATGGCAGCTCTTGCTCGCTGTGACAAAGTWATWGCGGTGTGATCCATGATTGCGTTGTAATTGCTTGGTTTATCTCTTCTTTCCTTGATTGGGAAAAGGAAAGATTATGCTCGAAAACTCAATCATATACAAGAAAGYTAAACATAGACATTCTCAGTCGCATTTGTAGCAGATTCCAAATGCAGAAAGATGCATGTATGCAACTAGACGACATAACCATTCGCACCAGGGAGACCAAAATTTGTTTATTACACCTACTGTGTGTGACCTACATGAGAYCAGTATTCAAACTCAAAAATCACAAGCTTAGCAAGATTGTCAGACAGTCCAAACACAGCATTGCACACTCCACTCATTACATCCAACGAATCATACTCGAAAGCCAATATTGAGATAAAGTTTAGGAACCGGGGAAGAACGTGTAGAGCAGGGTAGGGAGGAGTTTGAGTGCCGCTGTACCACCCGGGTCCACCCCCTACCCTCATTCTACCCCCGCTCTGCCCATGTTGCCCTCCATCTTACCCCTTTCGCAAGAACGCATAGGCGGCGGGGGGTTGAAGATGAAGCGGGCTAAGGCCCCCCGCTCTGAAAACGGAAAAAAAAAAAAAAAAAAAAAAAACGCTTCACCCCTACACCCCTCAATACCCACCCCATTGCCGCTCTCTTTCCCGCTCCCGCTCCCTCGCCCTTCCCCACTCCCACTCCCTCACCCGCTCGTGCTGCCACTCTCTCTCTCTCTCTCTCTCTCTCTCTCTCTCTCTCTCTCTCTCTCTCTCTCTCTCTCTCTCTCTACTCTCTCTCTCGAGAGAGAGAGAGACCGACCGTTGGCAGCCCAAGTTATTGGGCTGGCCAGGCCCCTGGGTTGGTCCTATGTAAGGATCTGACGGCCTGGCCCGCCATTTAGGACCTCTGCAGTGTTTGCACAATTTTTTTTTTTTTTTTTTTTAATTCGAAAAAAAATGGCAGTGATGGGAGGTTCCAACTGCCAGGGGCACCCCTCTATGCCTCCGCAACACTGCAGCAACAGGGTTGGCCCCCGCCATCTGGGCGTGGTGCTCCTAGGCGAGGGCCGCTCTAGCCCCTTCGATCTGGGGGTAGGATGGGGGTAGACCGGGGGACCCCCGGTTCTACCCCCGCCCAGACAATCATAAAACCACCATACCCAAAACATTCTTCCACCAAAAATAACATCAAGAAAGGGAGTGTGTGTTAACCTGCTATCGCTCATGTGAGATATTGCCAGAAACCCACCGAACTGCCCGTCATTCATGGGGCACCAAAAGTCTATCGYCGTGCACCCTTGGAAATCCTCACTCAGCCGATYTGACAGCTGTCACAGTGCAAGTTCASTCAATGCATGCCCTGCAGTCTGTYGCAGCAAAGTGGCAACTTCGCGTCATCAAGATCAGCASGTGGAACCCATTTGACCTACCAACCATTGAAACCATCAGGWTGCCCTTTCGCCGGATAGTGCTCAGGAAATCAAGCCTATTCAACACTTAAGTACCAACAGCGTCAGCTACCCAACCCGAGTTGGCTACTTGAGTGAGAARAGAGAGAGAGAGGTAACTACGTTTTTKRGATTTATAGTTGTGCAGACGGGGGAGCTTGTGTGCATGTGTGAGATAAGCAGTGGCCGAGAAAAAGGGGGAGAAGGGGAGAGGTAGAAAGGCCTTGGTACCGTTCGTGATCAAACKGTGGTGTGGGGGATGTAGCCACTCTCCACACAATGATGCAATCTCCCGGGGCCAAGTCCACACTTGGCGGGATCCTCCATGTTTSGTCGTTGATTGAYCTTRGTAATATACAGTTGGAAATCGAGAGTTCGTGTAAGTTGGACTAGGCCCCCGGYAGAGAGTGCGCCATAATCTGGCGRTGAGGTACAAAGYTGTGACTCTTAATAAATAGATCATGAGTCAGACAAAATATATAGTAACGTCCAGGTCTCTTCCCCTTAATKATGRCCCGCTTCTAGGCCTGACTCCAAGAAAAAAGCCACTTCCTCACAAACCACTTCCAGGCCTCAGGGCAAAGGTCATAGGCGTTCTTGGCCCCCGGGGGATTCCAACCTGGTCTTGTTCCAAACCTGGTMTCACTTTTGCAAGACTAGGTTCCWTGAATGSAATTCCTCTATGGGTATGTAAGCCTTARGTATGTCAAAGCCACCAAATCCGTATTCAAGCMGGCACCATCCAATGGCCTGGGCAACARCATCGCGAGATGCTTGARTGCTRGAGGGAGGTCGAAATATGATATGYCGTTGTGGGGSCAAAAACTGCAAGATGTGGAGCACGAGYTGCTGAGGCAGGTTCTCCCATTGCGATCCCTTGAAGATGTGGGCGAATTGCGCGCAGGCAGTCTGGACGGGATCCCTCAGATATGAAGGACGAAGCCGCAATTCGGCAACCATCTTATCAAAGCAACCTCGGTGCATCGTGCCCAGCACCAGTTCTCGCAATCAACCTGCAACGGGAATCAAGCGCTCAATCTCGGACTTGCTGTGGTACTCGTACGGCACAAAACTGACGGAAGACCTGTGAAGCTTTTGCAGAGATTTCATCAATTCCCAGTTCACACTGTGTGGAGGACTGGATCCTCTCTGTTTTGTACTAGATGGGGATAATATATCACATTCATTGTCAAATTGTGCCTCCTGGTAGTCTTCCAATTTGAAAGTCCAACCTGTACCACGTCCTTCTCCTGCTTCTCCTCCTCCTTGTCCTTCTCCCCCTTCTTCCCCTTCTCCCTCTTCTCCTCCTTGTCCTCCTCCTCCTCCTCCTCCTCCTCCTCCTCCTCCTCCTCCTTCATATATGAGATCTAAGAACATTGTTGTCTTCAGCACAGTAGGGACATCACAGTGTGGCATGTACCCCCCTGGTTTAAGGTTTTCTGTTAGCACTGTCACCCTTGACCTTTGCACCTCACACCCCCATCCAACATGTAAGATGAACAATCCTGTGTCGCGGTCCCCGACATCTGCGAACCAGCCTGTCATGTCACGGGAATGTTCGTAACGTCCCTGCCAGAAGAACATTTGCAGTGGGAGATGTCGGCCATCACTCCCAATCAAATCAAAATCCATCCTTTCTACCCTCACCTTATTACCGTACTMGCGACGGTCGGTCAAAAGGCACTCCCGAGCCTCTAGGCTTCTGATAAAGCCCAGCAGCTGGTTCCAAATGACTTCATCACTCTCACTCCATGCCGTGCATGGCTCCATTCCGAAGCGGCGGAAACAAGTCTCAAAGTCCAAACAGCTTCTCCACCGGCAACAAAATGCACAATCTAATTCTGTAGCACCACATGCCCTCCAATCAAGGAGATGCATAACAGCAGAATCGTACTGTTCTTCCAAGTCCCCAGTATTGCTAGCCATTATCTGTGCAGAATAATAACCAGCATCACCCTCCACCTCCTCCTCCTTCTTCTCTTCATCATTATTATTATTATTGGTGCCGGGATCGCCGTCCAAGTGTGCAAGGGTAGTCAATAGAACTATGTCCTCATCGCGCTGGTCATTGCGGACTTGATCTGCACAGTCATCATAACGCTCACGAAGACCCTCATCACCACCCATGCCATCATGAAAGTTCGACAGACTCATTTCAGCAAAGAGTGTGACGTCATCGACAACACCACCATGGCCACCATCACCATCACCACGATCATCCGTGCAACCATTGCGGTCATTGCCTACATCGAACTGACACACTTCAGTCACAAGGGCTCTGCCATAATAGTGTCGAGCACTGCTATTTGCTAACTCCTCCTTGAGGTCATCAGCCTGACCAAGACCATGCCCATTACTCTCATCTCCRTGGCCATCATCCTCATCATTTTTGTTGATGTCATCGACATTGCTCTCAGTGAGTTCCATCGAGACCGATTCGCCCTTGTCAGGACCACAGCTGGCAACTGCATTTCTGTGATCACAAGCATGACCATCACCATCACCATCATCATCATCATCCCTCAACTCAAGGTAAGACTGTAGGAGRACTTCAGGAGCCAGTGATGCCCTGTTATCGTCTTTGACAGCWGGATGTGCATCGACATCAGTGTCACCACTGTTCAGTTCCATGTCCATGTTCTGAGTGAAAACAGGCTCGTCATAGTCGTCGCCACAATCGTCACCAGCATTATTACCGCCATCATCATCATCAACATCATCACCGACATCATCACCAACACGA